CATATCAAAGAATCTAATTTTTGATTTAAAGATAATCGCGGTGAATCGCTATGGAGAAGAGGATTCGGGAGAGAAAAATTGTTTTATATCAAGTGAGATCTGATTTTTGGTTTGGATCAAAAAAAAATGGTCCAGTAAGAAACTGACACATGTCTTCGAAAAACCGTATTAGTTGTCTCTCTCCTTTGAAACGATTCATAAGAAAATCTTTTCAATCATCAATTTTTTAATTACTTTTATTTAATAATATTCTTAAAATATCAGGTTATGAGAGATAAACATGCTCTAATCCAATGTCAACAATCCCAATTAAGTGTCAAAAGCCCATATGTTTAAAGGTTTTTTTTGCAAGTAGATTAGTATAAATGTCATTGTTATAAGATCATTGATCAATAATGATAACCACGTGAATTGCCACAAAGTAACCCTCTATTTTTTTTTCTAACCTTTCATATTTGATTAATCAAATCATAATCTAAATACAATATTAGGATTAAAAGACTTATCTATAATTAATCCAAAATCTTTAGAAAAACCTTAAAACAATATAAAGAAATTGTCTGAAATATTAGTTTTCAAATTTCTTGATGCATCAAATCAAATTTAAGATCGACTCCACAGTTTGGATTGTATCAAGAATCAATTATCAATTTTTAAACTGAAGAACTTACTAGGTTGGACTCAATGGTCAATATTAGCTCTAAATCGGGTTTCTGCGAAGCTACTCAATAGACAACTCCAAGATCTCAAGGACTCTCCTTGCTTAATAAAATCTGGTTGGCCTCATGTACTCTCTTTCTGGCATTTCTAACTAAAAAAGTGGCTCGTACAAAACTTTATCATTTCCATTTAATCGAAAACCTTTAAAAAGCTACGTAATAATTAATTTGGGGCTTTTAACTTATCATGTGGACCATATTTGATAAATGCATATGGAAGATAATTTCCTAGCTACTCCTTATTTTGTCATGTTGCCTATGCGAGAGATCAAACAAAATTTGTTCATCAGTAGAATCTACATTTATGACATCTCATATTACAAAATTAGTTCTTCATTTGCAAGACAAAATACAGCATTAATTGGTATTGGTGGAGCAACGATATTTGACTTCAAATTAGTTGTCTAAATAATAGTACATCAATTATTATTTTTTGTAAAATACTACTTTAAAAAAAAAAACTCTTAATCCCCTTCCTATTAAAAGAAAAATAGATTTATTAGGTTTGCTTATTTGTTTTAAATTCATTGGTTGAAAACTATGATGTGACAAAGAAAAAAGATGACATGTCTCCAACAAAAATATGACACGGCAAAAAAGTTTATGAATTTCCTTTTATTATAAGCAATAATCTAAATTCAGATTTTTATTTTGTTTTTTCGAAAAAACTTCATCAATAGGCAAAAAAAACAGATGGAACAAAAAATCCCCAAATAATCTCCAATTGCAACATTTTTTTAGTATAACCCTCACGTTTTCTGTTTTTAATGAACCAATTTAACGTGTTATTATTATATTTCAAAATGCATTTATTAATATTTTTGAATTTTTTTTGACAAATTAATAGWTTTGATATTTATTAATATATTTTCAATATTTTTGATATAAGAAACTACATTTGAGAAAAAAAATATTCCAAKATTCTTAGAATATTTAATCTTCCTATAGTAAGAAATTTCAAAAACAGAAAATCTAATCAGGCATCCGTTAATTAATTACGTATATCTCTAAAATATATCACAATCCAATAAATAAAATTCTATTAATGTGTGTTTCTAAAACATAAAATCTTCGAATTTAAAACACAATCTCGACATATTGTTGTGCACCAAGATTTACTCAATCCCAATTTGAACTATATGAATTTCAAAATGCTGTTATATGTGTACATTAAACACTCAAATCCCAACTTAATTTTTCCCAAAAACATAATAAACATTAATCAAAGGATCCTCATAGGAAAATCTTAGTCGGCGTGATTATCAAAGATTACGATTTGGACCTAATATTTTATCCAAATAATTTTCTTGCTTTGGAACTAATTTTAATATTTTTACGATTAAAATCCAAAGAACCCTAATTTTGCTAACTAATTACGACTCCCTATAAATACAAATAATAAATCCAACAAACAAGACGATATTCTATAATTTATTTTCCTTTTTGCATGATGTGTTTACTCTGGCTTTAGCGATTCTAATATTATTTTTTTATTTTTTCAATGTTAGGAGCTCGATCTTCATGGCGACTATTACTTCAGCTCATCGAAAATTATTAGARGAATGCTTATCAAATTCAACTACATCTCCCCATTATTCAAGTAAGTACCAACACTCTATACTTTCAATTTTCTACTTCATCCTTTTCCATAATTGTTTCCTCAAATCTCAATTTTTTCACATGTTATCTATGAAAGAAGAACACGAACAATAAAATAATTTTTTAGTTCATCGCTATCTTAAATTGTGTTCTAATCATTCATAATTTTTGAATTTTGTTCTAATCGTTCTCTTAGGTTTCACTTGGATGATTATGTTTTGAAAGAAAATCTTGGTTCAGTTTATAAAATTTGTGATGTCTAAATTGACTTGAGTTTATGTTATTGTTTCGGTTTATATTCGTTCACGATCTAACCATATTTTACTATGTGATTTCATGGCGAAAGATTTGACCAAAAAAAAAAAAAGATTTGGTCGGAAAAAAGAAAGATATTTACCCAATTTTCTCCAAATTTTTATTGACTAGCATTAAAAGAAATATGCTGGCTATCACTAAGCAGAACAATATTACAGGTATTAAAAGCAAGATTGCAGGTAAATAATCCATATTTACTTAAAACTGTTTTGACTTCTTCCCTAAACTCTGAATAATTAAAAAAACTTATCTTC